CGCTTGCCCGGTGAGACGCTGTTTTCCTGGGCTGGCTGCTGGCCGCTACCTCCCCGCCAGCAAATCTGCTTCATTCCTCTGCCTGCGCAACGGGTCAATCTCTGCGGGTGCTTTTGCCTTCCGGGAATCTCTGCCTCCAGCCCCAGCGCTGTAGTGACTTTGCCTTGGGCTGAGGAGGGCTGGAGACCGTTCCCTGCATGTTCTGCAAAAGTCAGCCTACTGTGCCAGGCCAGATAGGCCTTCCCAGCCGCACCCTCCCGAGGTAGGATGATCTGATACACTGGTTCAAGAGACAGCAGTTACAGATCAAAGTAGTAAGGTTTCTGGTTGGTTCAGGCCCAGCAGTGACTGGCTGCAGGGTCTTGGCTGGACTGGCTATCTTTAGGAACCAGTGGGAGATGGGACATGAAAGTGTCTAAGCTCCCAAGTTTGCACAACTAGGATAGACCTTCAGACGTCTCAGAAACAGGGAGAAGGGGAAGTCCATCATGTAACTGAAATAGGTTATTGGTAATAGAAACTTCCATGTGTTATGGAGATGATTATTAAACTCATCAGGATAGCAACACAGGTTATATGGACAGCGTTTCAGAGCTATTTAGTCTGTTGGGCAATAAAACTTTGAAAAAAGATCAGGTGGCTCATAATCTTTCTCACTGAATAAAGTGGCACTGGCTCCCAAGGCAAGTCAGCCTTTTCCAAGAATTGGATAGCTAATCTACTGGATAGCTGTTGTCTTGATTTGTAGCCTCTATCAACATACCTTCTGTATTTCCAGTTGCATGCATTGTTTTTCTCAATGCAGTCAGTGTTTATATTTAATGTGACACAATATCCTAAAGAGAATACACTTCTCTCTGGCTGGTCAAGTAGTTTTATCTACAGATCTTAGAGCACAGCAGAACATCGGCCTCCTAAGAAAATCCAGAGAGGCTGAATGTTGACTAAAATGCTCATTGAGCTATGCCAAGCTGTGAGAGGTTTCTAGCTTCATTATATCCATCTTGATATCTTTTATTTCTACTGACCTTAAATTCAGGAAACACTAGTAATGAACTCATTCAATGTTGGGTCCCACCAAGACACCAAGATTCCTTTTTTCAGGTTTTTAAGGAAAAAAAACCCTTAGTTTTTCTTAAAATATCTGTTCTTTCTTCTGTTGGGTCTGGTGGTTCAAGATGCTAAATGCAGTCAAATACACCACCACTTGCCTAATATTTCAGAATATACTTTTTCCTTGGCAGGATGGTGATGCAATTAAGAAGAAGCCACAGCCTACAGACCGAGGGAGCAGCAGGAAATGTCAGCAAGTGCTAATGGAGCTGGAGGGAGTGTTCCGGCATTTGGAAGCCATATTCAATCTGACCTTGGTTCCCCGGATCCTTATTCTGCTTGGAGGAAATGCCATGAGCCCTAAGGAGCTCTATGAGATCAATTTGGAGGGCATCTCTGTGGGCAATGCTGAGGAGAGCCTGCAAACACCGACCTGTGTTCGTAAGCTTTTCCATTCACTCTTCCTTGCAGATGTCTTCAGTGAGTTACAGGTTGTTCCTGCTATGGGCACCATTGTCATGGTACAGGGGCACCGTGACTGTGGCATTGACTGGTTCCGACCAAAGCTCAACTACAAAGTGCCAACACGAGGGAGGAAGCTGACTGTCAACTTGTCCTGTGGTGGAAACAGCAGTACAAATCCATCTAATCAGCAGGGAATGACTTCTGCCTGGGACAGCTACATATGGTTCCAAGCACCAGTGACACTTAAGGGCTTCCATGAATGACTCATGCTCTCTAGCATTTTAATAGGGCATTTTATAATCTGGTGCTACTTTAGTTAATACGTAAGAATGTTTTTATGATCTGTAACTATACATTCTCTCCTCAGAATCCTATATCCAGGGAATGTGCTACCTACGTGCAGCTGGGGTGTATTTCACTGTCCATAAAACAAAGCTTTAAATGGCCCCATGCAAGGGATAAGCACTAATGCAGTTTTGTTCACAGATGTCAATTTCTTGGTGAAACTGAGTCAGGAACCCTAGAGAGTTGGTGGGAGTAATTCAATTTATGTGCAGCATGCCCACTCACCCCCAAGAATATCAAGGTATTCATACAGCTGTTCTCTAGCTGCTGCAAGAGCAATGTGCAATGTTAATGGATGGATTGGGACTTGAATAATCTAAATTTATGCTTAATATGGGTGTGGCAAAGATTATATAGCAGGTTTTACTAAGCAACTTGGTCTCTCATCTCCTTTACAGTCTGGCAATATCATAAAGATTAGAGAGAGAGAGCTGAGAAGTTGCTTAGCTATAAGAAAATCCACTTAGCATCCCTTATACAAAGGATGCTCTAAAGAAGACCTCTAAACAAGAGTCTTTTGCTCAGGACTGTTTTCTATGCTTGTGAGAATCTGTCTGAGCAATGCCACTTGCACTTATGGGGGGAAGGCTCTGAATATCTTGTATTGTTTCACTGATAGTTGGAAAAAATCAAATGATGTGTTTCATTTCTTCTAGGGCTGCTTCCCTATCTCTTAAATTGCATATGATCTGATGCCTAGTTTAAACTAGATATATAAAGATCTTCATGCTTCACAGCCCTGCCTGTTCCTCTCTTCCTTCTCCCCAAAATTCAGTAGAAATCCATGGGTTGTAAAGGTCCAGAAGTTTTTCACTTTATTTATGCTACTCTTCTTTCCCTGGACACAATTTGTCAAAGATGTACATTCTAGAACTAGCATATCTATTCATAACCTTCCTGCTTTGGTCTAAGGAGATAAATTCCATTCCTTAACCCATAGATTCCGTAAGGCAACAGCACAAATTTGAATCTCATGTCCCTACTTCCAGAGTCTCAGTAATTAAAGAGCCCTAGATTTGGTAATTTCTTGTATGTGACTTCTGAGCAAGGAATAGAAGGAGGAGTCAGACTGGTGAGATTCAAGAAGATGGGAAAAGGGTAAACAATAGTGGCCATCTATAAAAAGGTAAATAAGGACAACCCAGGTGACTACAGTCTAGTAAGCTTAACTTCAGTCCCAGAAAGATAATGGCACAAATAATTAAGCAGTTTGGTTTGCAGACACCTGCAAGATAAATTGGTAAATAATGGCATGGATTTGTCAAGAACAAATAGTGTCAAAATAACCTAATAGGTGTCTTTGACAGAGCGAAAAGCCTTCTGGATGGGGGAAAAGAGGTAGATGCAAGACATCTTTATTTTAGTAATGCTTTTGATATGGTTTTCCATGACTTCCTAAACAAGGGATATTACAACTTAGAGCTGTTACAAGATGGGTACACAACTGGTTGGAAAATTGCTTAAGATACATTTCCAGCATGACCTTGAACCACTGATGATTACTGTGGGAACAGAGTCCTGTAGGGATCAGTTCTGGGTCTGGTACACTTCAGTGATTTAGATAATGGTGTCAAACATCTATTATGTTTGCAAATGATATCAAGCTGGGAGGTCCTGTAAGTGTTCTGGAAGATAGGATTTAAACTCAGACTGATGTGGAGAAATGGTTTGCAGTAAATGGGATGAAATTCAATAAGGACAAATGCAAAGTACTTTGTTTAAGAAGGGGTAGTGAATTAAACCTGTACAAAAGAGGAAGTGATAGTGCAGGAATGAATACTGTGGAAAAGGAGGTGGGGGTTCTAGTGGACCACAAATTCAATGAGAGTCAACAACATGAAACTTGCAAAAAAAAAAAAAAGCAAATGTTCTGGGATATATTAGCGATGGTGTTGTAAGCAAGACACAAGAAGTAATTCTTCTGCTCTAATCTGTGCTGATTACACCTTAACTGGAATAGTGTATCTAATTCTGTTCTCTACAATTCAGAAAAGATGTGGTCAAATTTGAGGTAGGTCAGAGAAAAGCTACAAAAAATGATTAAAGGTCTAGAAAACAGGATGTATATGGGAAGGCTGAAAAAAACTGAGTTTTAATCTGGAGTGAGAGGGGACCTGATACTTTTAAAAGTACATAAAAGGTTGTTACAATGAGCAGGAGTAACAATTGTTCTCTAACCTCTGAGGATAGGACAAGATGTAATGGACTTAAATTGCAGCAAAGGCAGTTTCAGTTAAACATTAGGAAAAACTTCCTAATTATCTCAATAGTTAAAGCACTGGAATAAATTGCCTAGGGAGGTTGTGGAAGCTCTATCATTGAAAATTTATCAGGTTAGACCAACACCTCTCAGGGATGGCCAAGCTGTGGCTCTTGAGCCGCATGCAGCTCTTCTCTCTCCCAGTGTAACTTGAGAAGCTGCCCCTGCGCCCCTAGAAATGGTTCCTGACCCCCAGCTCCCTGTGCTCACCAGGACCGGGGAGCTATCCGGTGCAGTGATTCAGAATGGCATCACCAAGATGGCAGTGGCTGATGGGAGCCTGATGTGGCCAAAAAGCCTTCTCTTAAAGGGGCAGTATCCTTTCCCTCACCCCAACAAAAACTGCTAAATTGAGAAGCTGCCCCTGCGCCCCTAGAAATGGTTCCTGACCCCCAGCTCCCTGTGCTCACCAGGACCGGGGAGCTATCCGGTGCAGTGATTCAGAATGGCATCACCAAGATGGCAGTGGCTGATGGGAGCCTGATGTGGCCAAAAAGCCTTCTCTTAAAGGGGCAGTATCCTTTCCCTCACCCCAACAAAAACTGCTAAAAAAAATTCTGGAGTGCCTCGTTGCATTTTTTCCACCACTGTTTCAGCTCTTAGTTTAATGGGTTGGCCACCTAGTTTAGATAGTGCTTAGTCCTTTCCTTGAGTACAAGGGACTGGACTTGAAGACTTCTCAAGGTCCCTTCCAATTCTGTGACCTTGTACAGCAGCAAAGCTCTCCTGATTCTTGATTACTTGTGTTGTGACTTAAATGGCTCTCTCTTATCTGGGAGTAACAGAGGGTAGAGAAATGGAAAGCCACTACCTGACTTTGAATACTCTATGAAAGCAAGCCCTATTGGATCCAAAGCACTCAAGCTAGTTCTGAAGTCAGTGGGTGGGTTGATCCTATTGTAATGCAACCAGGTGGGGTCTTGTTACCCAATTTTGGAGTATGTCCTGGAGCTGTACAAATGCCTCCTAATCTCTGTATAGAGAACTAAGTGAACTCTTGTGGGCAAAGTCATTTAAGGTCAAATATCCTAAATCCAACACTTTAGGCACTACTGAGATCCTTAATCTCCGCTCAGCAGCTATTTAATTTAAGTCATCTAAATGTCTACTATTAAAGTCTCTAAGTCAGCTAAGTTTCTGTTGCTGGGTATGTGCGCTGCTGCCTCATTCCTGGTGACTGGCACCTCTCCGCTATGGACCCTCAATTAGTACATGTCCTTGGACCATACCAAACTCCACAAAATAGCAGAGGGCTAGAGAGGTGGCTTCCATCATCTGTTTAGCCCACTGGTTAGGTATACCATATCCTATATGACAGGTCCCCAAATTGTGGGGTAGGGAATGAATGTACTGGTGGGCATGGCAGGGCTTGTGCCAACCCTCACCAGAAGTGAGTAGGGAATGCCACCAAGCCCTGTTACTCTCCCAGCTTTGCTCTGGTGCTGCCAGACTGAGGTCTAGTTGTGGCTCTGCATTCTAGCCCTCCCTGCAGCTCCATTCCTCGCTGTGGCCTCAAACTGTTCCCTTTGGCCGCCTTTACCTCCCTCCCCCCTTCCCTGGGAGCCACAGCTGGGAATGACTTGAGGATGAGTGGGCATGACCCTGAAAAGTTTGGGGACTGCTGCCATGTGAGAACCCTGGGTTCAGTAACCTCTCTGCCTATTCGTATTAGGTGGGAGACCCAGCTTTAATTCCTTCTCCATGTGCTGAGTGAGTGCTTTAGCTGTTGTAGAGACAATGGTGAGTGCTGTAATGTACAACAAAATGCACTAATCTACAGTGAGGCACAATTACTGTAAATCAGGTTGGAAAGCTGCAATCTTGTGCAGGGCTATCCAGACTTTGAGATTGAATGGTGCACTCTAACATGCTGTGATCTCTGACCTTTGTGGCACATTTTGCCATGTGATACTCTGTAGCCATCCAGAAGGCTCTTTGACACAATGCCTGGAAGAATGAGAACTTGACACCTGTCACTTCTACCTCAACTAGTGAACCTAGATCAAGTCACTCCAGAGATGAAGACAACTTGAGTGGGCTTTTCTGTGGAAGCTGCTGCCCTTGCTCAGAAATAGGTGACTATTGGTCATTAAAAAGCCAAAGTGTAGTGCAATGTTGTCACACATTAAACAGCAATTATCCATTCTCTGCTGTAATGGCCAAAGTCCACATGCAGCAGGAGTCTGCTCTCTCAAATGCTCCTACAATGAAACAGGACAAAATATCCCTAACTTTCAGTGGAGATGTAATTTTTTAATTAAAAGCTTTAGTAATTGATTTAACCTTCATCTTTTTTTTTTTTTTTTTTTTTTAAAGGAGGCCAGTGACTGCAGCTATTAAGCAAATGGTTATTTGGCTTTATAAAGTGTTAACAGAAATGCAGTTATTAATTACCTCAGACTGGAAGTCTAGCAATGTGCTCCCATTATCTGTGCATAGTGCCCCTAGCTCATGACTCACAGATGTTCCACCTTTCTGACCAACTGCCTGATATCCTGTGCCAGGAGCTCTGGTTCCTCAAAGGCAGCAAAATGCCCCCCACGTGGCATGTAGGTGTAGACAACTATGTTCTTGAACAAATTCTTTGCCCAGGAACGTGGGGTATGTGCAAGTTCGTTGGGGAAAGCAGCAAGGCCAGTGGGTACATAAACTCCAATCCTTAAAAAAACAAAAACAAGAAGTTAGCAGTTTTTTAATCAGTGCATAATCTTTGTGGAGGCAGGTTGTTTAAAGCATTTGTTTCTCTTATCAATAAAATGTCAGAAAATCAGTGTAAAATGTTCTGGAAATATACTCACTACTAGGTAGCATGGATATCTTAGTATGTTACCATGACAGAAAACTCTCTCTACATTTATTTGTATCTGGAGTACACTTGTATTTCTCTTCCAATGCAGTTTGTACTAGTTGTTCAAGGTTACTAGAAATGTGTATGCAGTTTGATGCAACAGTTCAGCCAGTTTGCATATTAGTTTCACAGACCTCAGCAGAACAGTTATTTGAATCTTGGCAATCCCTACCCAGGAACAAAAGGTCAATCTTGCAGTTTAATATATTTCAATACAACATATTGGGGAAAATAGTTGACTAACACTATCCTACTCTAATTTTACATTGATAGTTAAGCCAGGAATAGCAGAGGGTGTGTTTCTGTGACACCTTCTTTGTATCTGTGAATTGGACATTGAGTTGTTCCATGGCCTCTTTGGGGTGACTACATTTGTGCTGCAAGTATCTTCATTTGCTATGGTATGTGTAGGTGTGGTTTTAGGTTGCCCATGAACTTCACAGGAGATCAAAACCAGGGATCTGCAACAGCCCTTTCATGAGGTGTTTGACTTCTGTGAGCTCCACTCAGCCTTCCAAGCTTCAGAGTTGAAGTTGCATTAGTGAAGGTTAAATGTGTGGGTCTAAAAGCGCTAACAAGACTGAGTGATGGTAAGGAAGGAAGGAAGGTTCAGCTGCAGCGGGAGACATTCATTTTTCATAATCCACTAGAGTTCCTAAATTGGGATAAGGCTTATTTTAGTAATCGTGTAGCTGCAAACAATTTTATTGGTTACACGGTTACTAAAATACTCCTTGGGGTGGGACTGGCAGCAAGTGCGGGAGCTCCCTGCCACCCTGCGCTGCTGCCTCTAGAGTGGGTTTGCAGGGGTAGTTGGTTTAAAAATAGGCTCCCCGTGCAGATTGGCTCCTGCCTGCTGCCCTGCTCTTTTGTGTAGCTCCTGCCACAGATGGAGGCTGCTTTGCAGCAGCTTGCCCTGCCCCCCATGCTGCTGCTTCTAATACAGAGGCAGCAGCGTGGAAGGCTTCTGCGGAACTAGTGCTTGTGGGGGTAGGAAGTCAGCTTTTAAGCTGGCTCACCCCAAGCACAGGCTCCTGCCTGCTGGGACTGGCAGCAAGTGCGGGAGCTCCCTGCCACCCTGCGCTGCTGCCTCTAGAGTGGGTTTGCAGGGGTAGTTGGTTTAAAAATAGGCTCCCCGTGCAGATTGGCTCCTGCCTGCTGCCCTGCTCTTTTGTCTTTGATTCAGTGGCTGGGCGGGCAGTGCCCCCTGCCACAGATGGAGGCTGCTTTGCAGCAGCTTGCCCTGCCCCCCATGCTGCTGCTTCTAATACAGAGGCAGCAGCGTGGAAGGCTTCTGCGGAACTAGTGCTTGTGGGGGTAGGAAGTCAGCTTTTAAGCTGGCTCACCCCAAGCACAGGCTCCTGCCTGCTCCTCAAACTGCTGCCTTTGTGGGAGGTGGCAAGGTGGAGGCAGGTAGCTCTGCAGAGCTGGCATATGTGGAGAGCCAGCTTAAAAGCTGATTCCGTGTGTGTATTGGCTCCCACTTGCCCCATCACCCTCTACACTGCCTCCTCTAATAGAGAGGCAGCAGCATGGTGGGGGGAGGGGAGAGTGTGTGTGGTGGCAGGTGGCTCTGCGGGATCCAGCACTTGTGGGGAGCTGACTTTTAAGCTGGCTCCCACCAAACACCAGCTCCTGCCTGCAGCCGGCTCCCCAAGGACACTGGCTCCCACCTCCCCATTGCTGCTTCTAATAAAGAGGCAGCAAGAGGGTGTGTGTGTAGTCATTTGGATTAACTGATAAACCCAGACTTATCGGTTAATTTTTTAAACAACTATATGCTGACATCCGTATTCCCAAAGCGTTGTGGCATCATGGTGAACGGTTGGGGGAGCAATGTGCAACAGCAGCCAAGATGTTGGTGATCAAGTTGAGGGTTGCAGTGATATACAGGCAGTCCCCG